GCCCAAAAGCGATCACCCAACTTCTCAAAGCTGCAACTTGTAACACATCGGCCATCGTAACATCACAAGCCACGTCTTGAAGATGCTCGAGGAACTCCAAAGGCTGAAAGTTCGAGACCGGAAGTCTCCCGGCTGGACATTCGGCAGTCTTCCCTCCGGCCTCCGGCGGAACACAGCCGCAAGTGAGCTCCAACTGGAGGCGGCGCCTGATCTCATCCAAGGCGCCCTCGACGGCTGCGACGAAGCTCTTAGAGCTGCTCTGCCTCGTCATGCGATGGAAGTCCTCGACGAAGGGCTTCAGCTGTGCTGGCTCGCACCAGGCGAAGGCACCGCTGCCGAAGCAGTAGACCAGCAGGAGGGAGACGTCGCTGAGGTGGGCCTTCTTGGCATCGATGGGCGCGCTGGAGGGATCGGAAACCAGCGCCGGCCACCAGGGATGGTTCTTGGTCTTCCCCCACACGAGATCGCCGACGGCGAAAGGGATTCCTTCCGGTGACCCGCCGGTAAGCGATCCTAGACCCATCCCCCCGTTTCCAAAATGCACATCCACATCAGCCTTAGCTTCGGTTCCAGAGGGGGTTACCGGAGCCGAGTTCACCGCCACGGAGGCGCCGTCTCCAGAAGCGTCCGGAAGATACCTAGATTCGGGGAGTCGCCGCTCGGATGGAGCCGGTGGCGGTTGGGGAGAACCCGAGCTTTGGGGTTGGGCCAGCGACTCGCCGGACGTGGGCTCGGTGGCCTCTAGGGTTTCCATCCCTGGGAAGAAGGTTGAGGGAGCAAAGTGGGCGCTGCAGGGGATACAGGGCACAAGAAATAGACGAGAAAGCGGAAGACAAAATTACCTAAAACTTGAGGGGGTTTTCCGAAAAAATAAAAAGAAGAAAAGAGAGGAATTCGAACAACTGGACGCAGGACGAGCAAACCCCTCTGAGTTCGACGGACTGCCGTCGGACCCACGAACGCAGAAGTGGGAAGTGTCTCTGCGGCGGCTTGAATCAATCACAAAGGTGCACGAGGAGGGGTGGGTGAACAAATTACATTTCATATTGAACATTAGTAGAAAATAGCAGAACAATGACTGCCTAGAAAACACATTCAGCACGAGCTTGTCAATTATCAATCCAAGGATTCAAATACCGGTCCGTATCATCACAACAAATAGTATATTTACATAACGAACAAGGAAGAGAGTAATAGAGAGAGAACGGAAGGGAGGTGGAAGAATACTTCTCCAAGGTATTCAAGCTGCTGAGACTGAGAGTAGGGGACGGGCAATCGGCCAGGGAAGGCACAGCGAAGAAGACCCATGTTAAGTTCTTTCCGGGCAGCATCAGCCACCGGCGGCCAAGCCAAAAACAAGCAGACCAAACAACTGAAGCGGAAATTGCTACGACAAATCTCTATGTCGTATCTGAATCTTCAATTGTACGGTGGTGTCAAGGAGGGAGCCATGATAGAATAAAATCACAGGATGAAGCAACCATAAAACAAATAATATTCATATTCTACAGTAGCATAATATTATCAGTGTAGTCTGTATGCAGTAAGAAAAGTACTTTCGTTCAGGGGCAACCATTATACAAAGTACTAAGTTATTGGTTCAAGAAAAATAGTGTTTTTGAAACCAAGAAGACATCTCGACCATTCAATTCAAATATGAATTCAATAAATGATAATAATTTATTTTGCCAAAAAAAATTTACAGATCAAATCATCAATTTTGAAGCTCTCCCCATCCTTTGACCAAAAACAATTAAGTAATTTCTCAAATATTAACAATAACTTAGTCATCAAAGATTGATCCATTATTCATTTCCATGATTTACGGTCGAAGCTTACAGCAAACCTGCAATCTAAGAGCACCGCCCAATTAGCCAACTGAACTTTTTGCTCCTCCTCAAACAAGGTTCTGTTTAAGGCAGTGAGAACTTTATTCACAGGAATGTAACTCCGGTGTTCAATTCACATAAACTCCAAGTCATCATTCTGCTGTTCCAGAACAATTGTAGCCAGGGCTCGTCGGTAAGCAGTGGATCTCATATTTCTGACGAACACAAAAATCTCAGCCTCTGCTGTTTGAGTATCGCATGATTGTTGTCCTCTCAGCATTGCAAGAAGCCTTGCTTCACAAAAAGCTTCTGCCACTGGCTTGGAACTGTTGAAATAATCGAAGCAAAGATTAATCACACACTGAAGAACATCATTAAGCATAAAACCATAAATGGATTTCCAAGATAACCATAAATGGCTCCATACCTCCCACGAACAAACCCAGTTGTAACAAATCCAATGGGCCACCTAAATGTCTGCAAGGCCAAAGAGTCTTCACAATCTTGCAGCTCCCATTTGCCAGAATTTTGCTCTGTGAAACAGGATTTTACAAAAGATTGAGGAACTTGAAGTTCTTCAAGATCCTCCTCTCCCTCTGATCTGCACAAGAAAAAGATGATGTTTTATAAGGATGGCCTGTTAATGGATTATGCTTTCAACTTCTGAAAGGTCATGCAATTAATTGTTGACGTTTGCATTCATATCATTTAGCTGACACTGCAGTATGGACAACAAAACCAACAGCATATTAGCAAAAAAATAGACTCCGGACTATTTCAAATAAGATAAGACGGGGTAAATTTGTTTCACGAATAGGCATGTGATGCATCACAAACATATTTTCCATCAAACCGAGAATTTCATCATTTATTTTTACATCTTCACCAGCAAAAGGATCAACAACACATGATCTCCACAGATTAATAAAAAGTAAAGAGTAATCAATCTCATAAAAGATGCATGAGAACTGAAATACTTGCTGCAACAAACGTTGCTGCTCTGGAACTACATGTTTTATCCTGCGAAATTGGTGGTTATCAAATCTTCAAACTGAAACACTTGCTGCAGCAATTGTTGCTGCTCTGGAACTACATGATTTATCCTGTAACATTGGTGATTATCAAATCTTCACGGAAGTAAACATATAGGACAAGATAACTGAAGAACAAAAGCAAAGGACTCTTAAGTTATTGCATAAGAATTGCTGAACTTCCATAATCACATGCATTTCGAATGTGCAGGCTCACATATTTGGATGTGGTGCATCTGATTTCCAATTTCTACATTGGGTCCAGGGTAGAAGATATAGATTGGCTGGAAGTGTCACCAAGATCAGCATGATAACATTCAACAAATAACAGAAAATTCCACAGTATAGAGAACCTTTTATGAACGATACAATGAACTTCCAAGTCCACAATTGTCAGCAATTGTCACTAGTGATACGGGTGATTTTGCACCAAAATAATAAATTCCCAAGTAATTAGAATCAGAATGAAAAGAGGAGGGAGCGTTTTGGATATATGAACCTGGATGTCCATCGTGATAGGTCTGTCAAATTTGGTGCACAAACGATTGCCCCATCTTCAAAAACACCCTCCTTATATGCATGAAGCATAACTCTTACAAAGCAAAGTTTGCTGTCAGCATGCATCACATTGGCACTAATTTTGACCCAATCAAGTGTACTGTTTTCCGCTATTTGTTCGTCAGGTAATATAAGCAAGTTTCTGCAACCAAGCTTTTTCAAATACCAGTCCAAGACTTTGGATGTTCTTGCTATAAAACCTGGAAATACTACAGCAGCTTGACGCTCAGGTGATGAAACTTTATCTTTGGAGTCCACATCTAAAATGGAATTTTCAGGAATTATTCCAGAAGAAATCTGAGCATCCATCATCATAAAACCTCTTAAGATGTTTGGTCCTTTAATAACTGTAGATACTATGCTATTCCATGGGGAAGGTATTGGAACTCTTGAAGGTCTCACTGCAAGAGGACGGAGCTCAGATGCAGTATCGAACGCAGCGGCTTCATCAGCCATGAAAGATGTGTACGCTTTGCAATCAGGAAAATCAAATGGAAAAGATGGTAAGCCACTCTGCAACAAGAGAGATCTTATCATATTCGGTCACAAAGTTAAAACTGAGGAAAACTAGACATTAAAAAAAATGATAATAGTAACCATAAATATATCAGAATGAATGTAGAAAAGACTAGGTGGTGGCCAAGATTTTGTTGATAAAACAGAGTGAGCAAAACTTTGATAAAGAACTTCTCTAACTAAAATGGAAGAAAAAAGAGATTGAGAAATTTCTTTTATCCAATTGTTTTGAGAGAAAAAAAAAACAGATCAAAATTTTCAAACAAATAAAACGATAGATGCTGCTCAATATACTAACATTTGCTTCAGGCTGATAGAAACATTAAAAAAGGGCAAGCCTGGTGCACAAGGTTCCCTTCAGTGCAGAGTTTCAAAAGGTCAATGCATGCAGCGATACCCCTGCAAGCAAAGTCACTATTTCCATGACTCTAACCTAGAGTGAACATCCACATCAAACTCAAGTGATAACTTGAATCCTTTTTATTTGTTACAAGTATGAAAAGCCAGCTTATTCTTATTATCAATATTACCAAGAATCCTAAGCAAATGCATATCATTCACTTACATTTGATGCAACCCACCGCCTCTCTCTCAAGCCAATTGCGTGACACCCATGCGAAACCAACAAAGTCCAAAATGTCTTAACCCAACTGAGTGGTAGGATAATAGACCACCTGCCAGAGATCTCACATTTAGTAACGAACTGGCCACTAGAAGTTAATAGCACAAGCAAAATAGCCTTCAGAACAAGGCAAAGGACAAGGGTTATTTTGAAAAAAGCACAGATAGATACAAAATTGTGTAAGAGAAAATAAAATAGCATGCATCTATCATGGACATAATCTAGACAAGGATGATATGATTACCATAGCAGGAAATTGATAGTAAGGTAGCATCTCACCCCATACAGTAGCTACCATAGTCAGCATGTTTTAGGAGCAAAATAGGGCAGGTTCGGCTTGGACAATCTTTTACTTCAGTTGATGCACCTGCATGACTGGAAGGCTCAAGGTAGAAGTCCTTTAAGCGCCTATCATGCTTCTCTTTGCAAATAATGCTTTCTGGAACAGGAGGATTTAAGTTATTGCTGCAATCCCACAAACTTATACTATCAGAGAGGAAAATGCCATTGGTTTCAGGTCTTGACCACAATGAATCTTCTCCCTGAAAATAACCCTCAAGGATGGTAGAAAGCTCGTTATCTGTAACTTCAGTTCTGCTAGATGGCAAATCTCGTGGATCATGAACTGTTAAAGATAAAATTGCATGGGAGGGAAGTTTCTCCGCATGGCAAAGGAGAATAGATTTCTGAACTTGTGAGTTGCTGCAAGGTGTAAGACTTGATTGATTTAATAGAGAATTATCTGCACTACTACATGACCTGCAAAGAATATACGACGTACTGTACTCATTGCAAAGATTAAATTGATAAATAATTGATCGATTCAAAACTCCATGTCAGTGGCAACAAAAACTTACTGGGACACAGGATGTAGAATCTTCTTTATCATTTTTATTGCCTTGGACCCCATAACTTCTAATCTTGCAATTTGCCCCTCAAGCGTAAAGCATCTGACATATACACCACAATCATGCATCTGAACAAATGAAAACAGGGGATACAGTTCTCATGAATGCCATTAGAGATTCAAGCTGGTGCACATATCCACTTGAAATTTTAGCAACCGAAGATTATGTACTGTTAGCAATCCAAGAGCATTAATCTGTTTGGAACCACAAAGTTATTCCAAGGACAACAAATGCATCTGCCGAATAAGAAAAAAATAAAGAGAATGACGCAAAACAGCATATCATTTGAACGTTGGTAGCACATCTGCTAAGTGAACCAAACAAAGAGGATATGTGGATGACATTACATCATAGGATATAGATGCATCTATTAACAGGTTTATCTAATTAAAAGAATAGGATAGATACATCATATAGTTTATTGTACTGGGGCACCAGAAAAGGAGGAGAGAGAGAGAGAGAGAGAGAGAGAAATGGGAGAGAAGAGAAGTTGCTTAATGGTACCTGTTTTTGACATGCATTATCTATTACACCAAAACCTTCATTGAAGGCAGCAGCATGTATCCATATCCACAATTTTCTAATCGGCGAACCACACTCATCTTTATAAGTGCTGACAGAGCTATTGGAAACTCCATCTTTCTCAGCACTAACATGATCAATATCTCTTAGGAAGGGTTGCCACATGTAAATAACTGGAGATATCAAGTTGGAAACTGGAGCTTCAATATGATAAAGCTGCAGAATGACAATGTTATAATTCTTTCAAGTATGGACCTCTTGGAACTGAATCAATTATGCTCACAAAAATTACAACCTACCATAGCTTTTCCATAGCAAACTCCATGTGCAACCTGGTTAGATAGTTTTTCTGGAGCAGTTGAAGGTACATAAGGTGATGGGAACAAAACCATTCTCAATACAGCCAATATGGAGTCCTGAACACATAGAAGGGGTAAAATCTTTTTAAAGGAGTTAATTGTAGAAGCACTGTTCAGTAAAAGAAAAAATCATGTGAAGTAAATGGAAATGAGATGGATGGATTTAACAGCCGAAATTCATAAAAAGAAAGAAAATGCCTGCCTCTGGACCCTCTATTTGGATGGGAAGACAATAACTAGCATCATGCAAGAGTGCACCATATTTGAACCATTTCAATGCAGCCCTTGAACCTCGTCCTCTGCATAAAACCATAATATAAATGTATATTTTAAGAAACTCCATTAAACTTCAAAACAATCAGTATCAAATGAAATTCATGAGCATGTCCAATTAATAATAGTGAGATTGATAAGTAACGATAGAATATTCAAGTAAAAACATGGTTCTATACGGAACATGAATACAGACAAAACATGTCTATCACTATGCAGTTGGCAAAACAAGGAAACTCTAAGCAGAACCTTGATTCACACCATAACATTATTCTAAAATAAAAAATGATTCGATCATTCTTTTCTTCTGTCACATAGTTTCCAACATGAAAAGAATCTGGCCTTCTGCTTCTGTCACATAGTTTAATTCTACACAAGTCCGATGATTGTACAACTGGATGAAAAGATTTACACCACTTTTGCCACCATGTTTTATCTTGTTAAACGTATCCTCATCTAGTTTGGCAGCCTCCTGCATAAACCTAAGGAATATATATTGTTTCTTTCTAGGAACTTCATGTCACTCCTAACTCTAGGTTGTTCAAATGTAACGTCACTCATATTGTTTCTTTCTAGTACTTTAGTATGATTTTCTCTGAAAAATTAGGATCTCAACAACAATAGAAGTGCAGCAGAACACAAAATTTGCCGAAATTTTATCTTCCCCACCCAAAATATTTGAAACCAAAGGAGACATGATCCATTAGACAGGACGTTTACCTGCCATGAAGCCCCAGAGGAAGGTAAAATCCCCAGCGCTTCACCATCGTGAACCGCTTAGCATGCCACAGATGAGTCCTCAACCTCTTCGTACCATCTCCCGCGGTACAAAAGCCGGAAGACGGATTGCTTCGGAACTCCATCCTCCGACGAGTCCTGCGGGACATCTTCTTGGTCGTCTGAACCTCTTTATCCTCGGGCAGGATTCCATCCTCGAACCCCAGCTTCCTTCTCTTGGGGCGGCCATGATTCTTGGTGGAGGCTCTGTGGCCGGTGGTTCGCCTCCGCTTGTCGCGGCGAATCCGGAAGTCGTGGTTCAGTCGGGTGGAGATGATGGAGTGGAGCGAATCGAGCTCGGCAGCTCGGGATTCCGCGAACTTCTGCACGTTTAGGGTTCGAGGAGGAGGAGCAACGGCGGAGATGATGGTAGAGGGTTTGGGATTCTCGGGGGCTTTTGCCATTGTCGACGGATGGGAGAGACGACAAACCCTTCAACCCTACAACTGTTCTTCCTGGTTGATATAGGACCTTGAGTTCTTGAAGCCGCCCTTGTGAGAGGGGTTACTGTTTAGAGTTTCCGAGTTCCGGGAGACCGTGTCGGCTTCGGCGTTCGGATCGCAACGAGCTGGTCCCGTATATGAACTTCGGCCCGTCGACAAGCAGAACCCTTTCAATGTTGATGTCAGCCTAAGATTCAACACATCACAGGCCCAAATAAGCCCGAATCGAGATGGATGTCTTTAAAGTATTGGATGCTAAAATGGGGCTTTCAGATCCGCGAAGGACCAGAGCCGTGAAATCCTACTCTCCATAGGATCGAGTACAGAATGTGGAACGTAAAATCCTACCCAAAATGTTTGAAACCAAATAAGACATAGTACATTAGATTGGACGTTTACCTGCCATGGAGCCGAGCTCGACAGCTTGGGATTCCGAGGAGGAGGAGCAACGATGAGATGGGAGAGGGTTTGGGATTCTCGAGAAACATTGCCAGATGAGACGGATGGGAGAGACAAGAAACCCTACAAGTATTCTTCATTGTTGATACACAAACTTGAATTCTTGAAGCCACGTCATGAGAGGGGTTACTGTTTAAGAGTTTCCGAGTTCCGTGTCGGATCGATGTTCAGATCAGAACGAGCTGGTCCCGTATATGTACTACGACCCCTCGACACTTGGTCTTGAGCCGAACCCTTTCAACGTTGAACCTGATGTCAGCCTAGGATTCAACACGTCTCGGACCCAAATAAGGCCCGAATCCAGACGACCATCTTCAAGGACGCGACTATAAACTGGGGCTTTAAGATCTGCAAAGGACCATAGCCATGAAATCAGAAATATTTCTCTTGGACACACATGCTTACAAGATATATCTACTTGGGAACTCTTGCGACTTTGAACCACATAATTTTCACTATCTGCTGCATTAAGACGGCTTTGTAGTCAGAATATTAGCAGAAACATGTACTTATACTACAAGTGACGTTGGATTGCACCATAGAGTTAGAATCCATTATTGTTTAATCAGGCACAAGAGGACAAGATATTGGTAAATCAGGAGTCTCACCAATTGGACGACTAAATTAAGACGGCTTTTGGAATATGCATCAACAACAACCATCCATTAGTGTGTGGACCAAACATAAAGATTACAGAAGTAAACATTATACACATTTTTCTACACCAGCCTATTCAGGGTCCTTTGACATCCAGCGTACACAGACTAGCAGCTAAGTTGCTTCCTGCAAACACAACAGAAGACGTACAGCCGGACATTTCCAGAGTTACATGGACCAACAATAATATCAAGTTGCACAGCACCACCATCTTTAATTACAGGGGTACATAAGGGCAATTGTAGCACTTGATTTTGGTAGCAAAGAAAATTAACATTTCACACTAATCCTATGCTTACACCTGCCAGAAGCATGAGTCGGTTTCACTAGTGGTTAATTAGTTATTCAACCTTGTGGCTTCCATCTTGATGCTACTGCAAAGTATTAAGAAAGTAGACATAAGGAACCATGATGAGAGCAAGAAAAATATACATAAGACACAAGTGTGGTGAGTGAACGAGCAAGGAGTGGAGACATAAGACAGTGTGAGAAGAGACGGGACTTACAGATCAGTCAGCATTGTGCGACTGGTCATGCTCGATGAAATCAAGAGCCTGCTCCTTGGAGACCACATTCACATGGCTCACTCTGTTCTTATGCGTCACGCCATAGATCTTGTCGGCAACTTTCACAAGCTCTGGCCTGAACGTGGTAGTTATGAACTGAGTATTTGCCATGTCAGCAAGACGGCGGATCATATCTTCACACCAGAAGTTAAGAACCATTACAAACACAAATCAACCACAATAAACAATTATTGGAGGACAAGTTCCATGTGCATGAATCCTAGCATGCATTTTTGCATATGCATGAAAGCAAGGAGAAAGTGTAGTTCAAGGATACTTCCAACAGCAGTTCTGTACTGGGGGTCTAATGCTGCATCAATCTCGTCAAACAAATAAAATGGAGCAGGATCACACCGCTGGATAGCAAAGATCAGAGTCAGCGCTACTACAGTTTTCTGACCACCAGAAAGTTGCTTCATGGATTGGGTTTCTCCTTGACCAGTGAAGGAAACCTAGGTGAGGAGAAGAAATGTTCAGTAACAGTTGTAACATATTCAAATCTTATCATTTAAAGTTTACCTACAAGGAACTGGATGAGAAAGAGTAACAAGATCAAGTAAGCAACTTTAGAAAAAACAGTGCAATTTAAAATAAGATTATAAGCATTTCTTGAGAAGTTTGTAGGCCAGCAATTAGATACTAAAGAAACATCTAGAGATGAGTTCTAACAGAAATTCAACCAGAACTTATGAGATACAAAATTAGGCCGGTTCAGTAAGTATAAACGTAAAGGGGACTCATACCTTCACTTTGACACCAATATACTTTTCAACCCTTCCTTCAGGATCTGGTTCACGAGGTCCATCCTCGCCATGATCATCATCACCGAGATCACCATCCTTCAAAAGAAAAAGGAGAGAGAAGAGAGGGAAAGATCCATCCATAAGACAAAATCATGCTAATGCAAAAAATTTCTATAACTGATACGAAAAGTAACTCTGGTACAAATAGGAGGTCAACAAGTACCAGAATCAGCAAAAGACCTAAAGGACAAAATTCCAAGCATATCCAACTACTAGAAACATAATCTTCAGATACTTTATTGCCAGTATGGAGATTTACATTCCTATTATCCAGAAGAAGAAAATTTCTATAAAACACATTCAGCCACATGATAACACTGTTCAGATGTTGAATACCACATCCTTTTATTCCATTATTCCATGCCTGAAACTTAACTATTAAATCAGATTAAATGCTAAATAATTGACAATATGTTGAAACTTCCTTTTTTTTCTATGGCAAATCCATTTTGCTTCCATGATACAAAACAAAAGCCAGCAACAAGCTTTCATTCCCACATTTATTCATACAGCTGATCTATCTTGAAACTAACAGGTAATGTAGACATCATTTTGACTCAATACACCATTGATCTATCAAGCAATTTGCTCTGTTAACTCCATAATTAAATTATGTGCACCATATTTCAACACCAGCATTAAGTGTTTAATCCATGCTAAGAAATCATTTTAATATTTATACCCAACCTCCTGCATAAAGTAACTCTTAAGCCAATCAACAATCACAGATCAACTTTCCATCCTACATAAAGTAATTCTTAATATTATCTTTCAAAAATATGAGCATTGACACTCAAATCCTCACATGCTTATCATATTTCTTTCCTCAGGTAACCAATGGGGCTTAAGCTTAGTAGTTGGTTTATCCCTTCACCTAAGAGGCCTAATCTTTAAGCCTTAAGGAAGAGGTTTCTAAAGTACATGACAGACAAGCTCTTTCCCGGTGGAATTTTCCCATCCATCTCCATCCTTTTCTATTTAGAGAAGTTCATATGACTGTGCAGAGAACCATGTAAGAAAAGCATTATATTATACACCAAATGCAGCTCGGTGGAGGATGAAATGTTAATGTATTTTAAACAAAAAAAAAAGATCAAAGCAAGGCACAATAATAAACCAATAAGCACTTTAAAACTTGAGAAAAAAGAAACTAGACCATACAAAAGCTAGACATATTATAAATGAAATAGGTTAAAAATAAATTAAATAAAATGAGCACAAAACCTTTTTCTTCATCATAACCAAGTAGCCATGGCCACCTTGCACAAGCTCACCAAATACTTCTCGAAAATGTCTTGCCACACCTTTGAATGTCCTTTCTATCGATTCATCCTTCCGTTGATCCAACACTGCAATAAGCTCTCTGATTTTCTGCAAAATACAATGATTAAAAACTCATGCTAGTGTGGTAGAAAATATCCAAATGATACTTTTAAGCATAAATCCAACTTAGTGCATATGAAGGCAATACCTGATCACCAGCATCAAGTTCAGCTCGTCTTATCTGTAGTTGTTCACGCTGCTCTGTGAAGTTAATATATTGGTCAAGGGCCTTCTTATTGACATGGCTAAACTGCTTTAATTGCTCATTGCATGCATGAAGTAATTTCTGCAATTCTTTAATATTTTTCCTTTTATACCTAAAATATGCAGCCAAAAAAGTTAGTTACTCAAGAGCAATGGACAAGTGACAGATAGTACAATAATTATCTGTAATCAGTCTTGGAAAGAGCATCAATGAGGTTAGAAAGAATTAAAATGTGATCCCACAACCAATATTCAATTTGGCGAAGCAGATGAGATGGACAACAAATATACCACATAATTAAAAGCACTGATTTTACTTTCAGTGGCACAGATGGGTATAGGCTGATACTAACAGTCTAACAGCCTACCAGTATACAAACCAAACAATTTCATGCAGTCTGATCCCAAATTGCACTTGCAGTTGAACCGGGCAATAAAGTCTCATCTGCAGTGTTGCCATCTCCTCCTCCCCCCATCTGTCCCTCCATCCACCAATTTCTCTTGTCAGTGAGGTACCAATCATACCAGTATGACCACCGATCGGAATTGGACTAGACCAATTTTCTAATCCTTGAATGAAAGTCAAAACACACTATATGGTACACCTGTTTCATATGAGTGTTCAAACCATACATATATCAATCCAAACTATCGATCCTGTACTGAGTGTTCAACCCATACATACCAACTCAAACAACAGATCCTATACTGAGTGTTCAAACCATACATATACCAATCCGAACTATAGATCCTAAACTGATGAGTAATAATATGTAAGCTGGCAAACTCAGAGAAAGCTGGCATACTCGGAGAAACAAAAATATTGACAACAGTGGGGCTGCAAAAGCTATTAAGCATTGCACACAATGCAAGTATTTATTTTGGAAGGTTCAAGAGATTTCAAAAGCAAGAAACTATTGCAACACAAGGGATCCATGTTTCATCTCGGAAAGAAACTTACGTATCAAAGGCATCAGATGGCAATGAGCCCAAATCCCTGATTTTTTTCATGCAATCATCCTGTTTCGTGAGAAGGATATTCCTTCTGCTCAACAATTGTTCCAACTCTTTAGCTTCATCTTGAAGTGTGCGCTCATATTGATCTTCATGCATCTGCATCACAAACAATGGCTATGATATATACAAATGCCACAAAATCATAACATTGTTGCAAGCATATCTGACCTTTAGACTTTCTTTTGAAGTTTTTATATCTTGCATTTTTTGTGTGAGACCATCGATATTCTTCAAAACACCTGCAAGAAACTGTCTTCATTTAGAAAGAAGTACACATTACAGACTAAGAAGAGAAAACAAACAATTGCAATTCATGCCTTCTAGCTGCTTTTTCAGTTTATCAATAGACCCTCTTGAACTCTTCAGTTCCTGCCTTTTTAATTCAACTTCCATGGGCAAGGTCTCAGAATCTGCAGACAATATGACGCCTTCTAACTCCTGCTGTCGCCTTACGAGGTTTGTTGACAAATTTGTCTCCAATTCCTCTTTCCTTGTCTCAATCTATACAAGATATTGCTAATTAGAAGCTACAAAAAGATAGATGGCCCATTTCATGATATTGGAAGCTTTTACTAATCAGGTATACAAACCTCAATTCGATTATTTTTACAAGCCAGAAGTTTCTCTTTCAATTCTGTAATTTCAGGATTTAATCTTGAAAGAAGATCCTTTTCTTCGGGTGTTAGTTGATCGATAAGCTCGGTGCCCATTTCGGCTTGTTTCATTGCAATACCAGCTTGTATCTGATCAATTTGGTTATGGGCATTTGTAAGCAATTTTTCCTGTAGGAAGACACCATCTAATACCATTAGGTCCAGATAAACAAGAGCTACCTAAAAATTCATTGCCAACAGGAATACAATAGACAGTAAAATATATATAAGAGGAACCTTTTTTTCAAGAGCTTTACAGATTGACTGCTTCTGTTTAGTCGCATTAGCAATGTCATTTTTAAGCTGCTCCAATTCTGACTTGACATGACCATGGTGAGCATCCATTTTCTGTTGCTCACTAACTAACTTGGTGATTTCCTGGTCTATCTGTGTGGGAAGTTAATAGAAAACATTTTCTGCAGCTATATTATAACAATATTTCTAATTGAGACAACGACAATCTCAGATATGATAGAGGCCTAAACCATTCAAGCATTTGTAAGAATATTACTTTTCGAAACATCAAAAGGCATAAACATCTTTTGCCCAATAGCCACTTATCATACAATGCAACAGATCAAATACCACTAGCACCAACCATATCAGAACCCAGTCAAACTACTACCTACCAACCAGCAAGGTACCATGAACGATTGGCATAAATTATATAAAACATGGATTAAAACATCACCTGTACCAGATCGTACGAGCCAACCGAGATGTGGACCGGCTTGTTTCAAACTTTCAATGCAGGCTGCATCTCCTGGTAAGCATGATGTACCAAGCTTATTGAATGGTAAGCAGACTGATTCCAAACTGTATCTAGTCACTTATTATGCTTACTGGCCTGTATAGAACAGTACCCAATTGGAATCCAATTTCAGTTTCTTTCAGTGTCACATAGTTGTCTTTCTTTTTCTACTTTCTTCTTATTATTCTCTTTCTCTCTCTATCTGTCTCTCCTCATGGACCTTCATCTCGTTGCTGCCTCTCCACTGTGCCACCGCTGCCGACTCCATCGTGCTGCATCTTTGCTTTCACTCCTCATCCGGGTTGCCACCATCTTCTCCACCTCCTACACCTCTTCTGCTTCCTCTTCCTCCTACTGCTGCTCCTCCTTTAGTCAAAATGGTACCACCTATTGTACTGACCAGTTTGACCACCAATTCAAATCACCACTCAATCAAGATTTAAATTGTAGAGAAAAAAATTTAAATATTGGTTATTGTCGGAATATAGGTGATACTGTATACTAGCCGACCAGCATGGTACAATCAGTATGGCCAGTTCATTCCTCAATACCTTGTCAGAGCACTACATGGTATCATTCCAGACAAGTCATTTCCGGCATATGATGCTAGGTGGACAAATGCTTTGTTACTTTAGTCATCTCTTCTGCCCACCACTGTAACACATATTTGAAATAGATTTACAAATTAACTGCTTCCATTTAGTTGCATTAGCAATGCCATAGCGCACTTAAAATTAACTTAAATCCATTGATCATATATTATTCTCTTCAAAAAAAAATTCAAATTCACCATATTCTCATGCATACTTCGACATTTACAGATGAAAGATTACTTTAAAAAATATCATAAGAATTCAATTAATAAAAGTTGCATAGGTGATATCTTTCATCAATTTTAGGGTCCATATTCTATTCAACACTTGTATTTCCTTTGAATCCCAACAATCCACTTTCTATCCTCTCCTTCCTACATAATTGATTATTTGCATTTTGCATATACCAAAATTAGACAAAGCCAGGAAATTCTGTTCAAATACTTGTGAAAGACACAAGAACGACACCTGCAATCACTAGAAGATTTTTCCTACCCCAATAAATTCTCTCTCATCTTTTCTCATCGTCTCAAAACTCATCTACTTTCCTTCATTCACCTTCTGATTTTTCCCCCTTCAGATACCTTGAGGATTCAATCTATCTACATCCATTGAAGTCCTGCTTCCACAAACCATACATGACAATGACTACATCAATAGATCACAATGGAACAACTAGCATCAAATTGAATAGCATTCATCATAACACTTTTAAAGATGTCTGCATTGTGCATGCCTCTAGTCAAGTATCATGTGGCAGAAAGAGTTACTCCTTGAGATCTAACAAAGAATAAATGCAATAACCATCCTATTTTAACCTTAGGTTTCAATGTGCAAGTAAAACTAGCAAGAAAATTAATAAATCAGGGTAATCTCTTTTCAACAGTATTTATCCACATGAATGTTGAAGTAATTTAGTAAAATAAGAGTATTAAAAAGACTTTTTAAGGATATCTTTAAGTTTTTTCCCAATCTCATCCAATTCCGAAGTTTTATTGTGGATAGACATCTTGTTTTGCCGAACCATGTTGACAAATTTTAGCTTTGAACGTCTGAAGTCATAGAATCCTCCAGTCATACCACCTTTCTTGCTTACTTGGTCACCTGATGCAGTGCATGATGTCAGAAATCAAATTGATGACAGAATGTGTGCACGTTCAGATTCATACCCTCTAATGTGATGCAATCAAGACTATTGTTTCTTGCAACACTTGTGGCTACATCCAAATCGCGACATATAACAGTTCTACCAAACACCTGATTAGCAAACCACATCATGTTGAGAATGAACTCGTCAAAGGTAATAAATACAAAAAATGTTTTTCAAGAGATGCCTGTGCCCAAAAATGTTTCCATAAACTTTCAAATGAATGATACTTTTAACAGTATAGAAGATGCACAGTGAATAAAAATCTACAAGATATGCACAAAATATTTGAAGTGTACAAAATAAATGCAGTGCCAAGCAATGTCGTATTGGCTATTTCAGCACATGGTAATACATATTTTTAATATGCACCATTAAACACAGGAGTAATGTCACTTGGTAATTGGTATGACATGATGTGGTATACAACTATACAGCATGCCAATGAGGCATCAGCATCCCCCCATACCGTGAAACAGGGATCCTTGGTTGTTATTGATGTAAATCAAAGCTAAATAATAATACCCCAACAATGTTATTGGATACCAAATGAACATTCTGTTCTTCAATGACAAGCTACGGAAGGTCAGCAGACAGATAATGAACAGGCAACATGTAAACAACAAAGAACAGACATGATACTTCTGGGATTATATGCTTTTCCTTAATAGAGGTAAAGGTCAAAAAAAATATCAGTGCATCCAAGCACCATGCTGCCAACTGTTTGTCACATTTCTGCTGTTATTCTTGTTGTAAATTTGTAACTATACATGAAAGAAATTTAACAAAGTCTATAAGACCTCTATTAATATAAACATAGACACCACTTAAAGTGAATTTTTTCCAGCATATCACCTTGAAACTTGAGTGCAACATATTCATGCTCTGGGGTCTAGTCACACACCAAATTGAACTTTTCTAGTGTGGCGAAACCTTTTAATTAAAGAGGCAAGCATACAGTAAAAGTGAACATTAAGGATAAAAATAGACTTTGTATCGTATATCCATACTCTTTCAGATTCAACTAAACTGACTAAAATTTAACAAAATTTGATTTAGTATCACATATCCATACTCTTTCTGCTTCAACTAAAATGACTAAAATTAAACAACGCGTCATTCTTCTCTAGTTCAATCACAACTATAACCAATCGAATTCATGTAAAAAGTTTGAACAGTCTATAAAGAGTATCAAGATGACCATATCTCTATAAGGCCATCAGGAAAAAGTCACATTAAGAGTCAAAAGGGGTAGCCCCTATACAATGGTCGTGAATTAGCAGATGCCTCGTGGACTGGTATAGAATGGGATAGACCCTATACAATTGGCCCTGCCCATACCCTGCATTAGCAGATGCCTCGTTGACTGGTTTCATTCTTATTTAAAAGGAAAGAAACAAAAAGAATCAAAAGCTTGACATATACATCACCCCAGAAAATACAGAGGCACCATGGAATTTAATGCAAGCAGATGCTGTGTGCATCAAAAAAAATACATGAGGCAAAATGTACATTAGTTTTTGTAAGGATGACAGATGTACTACCTGTGAAAATGCAGGAGCATAGTCAGATCGAAATTTCAATTTTTTCAACAGTGGTACTACATCAGAACTTTGTGGGTAAGTAATATGTGGGACTTTCACCCTGTTTAGTGGTATAAAAGTTACACGTCCACCTTTCTCTGCAGTAAGGTATCTAATAATCTTAGTTGAAATGTCATCTGTTTCAACGACCACATGGAATAAGCTGCACATCAGAAAATCGAGAAGTTATTATGGAAGTCAAACCGACAAACAACAAGGCACAATCAAAATGATAGAGAGCGAGTTACAAAAATAAAAAATTCAGACCTATTTCCAGCAGTAACTTCAACAGCAGTGAAGAATTTGGGATCACATTCAATTAACTCTAGTATTGGACCAAATACACCTCTAATGTTATGATCCTTGATGATCCTATTCACAGAATTCAATCCTCTTCTAATATCCTGAGTACACAAAGATAGAAGATACTTCATTGATTAAGAAAAGAAAATCATGAATGTGACTTGTAAATGTGACTTGTAAAGTAGTATCCAGAATGAGTAGCAATACCATTAAAAATGTAGCTGAAGTGAAAAATGATATGCAAGAAGTCAAAATGCCAGGTTATAAAGTAATAATCAACAATTTATAATTCACTGATACTATCAGTATCTGGTGGTACATACCGGTTCAATGTGGGACAGATATTGAGAGCACCCTTTATCAAATAATAAGGTGAACGACCAAAATTTCTTACAACGACTTGTTCAACTGGACTTGTTCGGACAAGGGTTTATGCAAATATCAGAAGTGGCCAAGAATTTGAATTTGCTTGGCATGAGCATTTTGAACTTGGCAATAGGTCAGTTACTTCATCGTGTCAAGACAAATGATATCAAAACTAACCTAGTATTGGGCATGGTGAAGAACTCGAGTACGAAAGGACTACTCGTAGACAAGGCCTAGGTAAGTTCCCGCCTAGAGTAACCACTACGTTAGCTCTCATGTGCGCCACGCTAGGATCTAATTCTGAGCTAACTAGTCTTGTCCCACCTAGAGCCACCATTATGTTAGCTCTCATATACACCACACTAGGATCTAATTCTGAGCGATATCAGTCTTTGATAAGAATGTCAAGCTCTTAAGTGGAGAAGATTATAATATCCAGATTTAATCTAACATCATAAGTGCGCAAGAACTTGAATTAGCTTACAAGGGGCTTGATGGTTCTACCACCAATAATCTGGGCTTACGCGTTCTAGGCTAGTTCAGGCTCAACAAAATTAATGGGTTAGCTATCCCATCAAGTTGAATCGTGGCAATTTAAGATGAGACTAAAGTTAGCGACCCATGGCTCAAAAGGACTCAAAGAAATGTTCTTGTCATACAACCCATTTTTTTCCGCTTTTTATTTCTCCTTTTTACCCCCTAGTGGCTGCCTATGCAGTCATTGGTACACTAGACCACACCAACACACCATACCCCATCCATCTAATAGAGTGTGGTACATCCAGCAGCAACACATTTGAAATTGTCATGTAAATAATTTTATGATTTTTGAAACAGTATCCCTTTCATTAATCCATAACAGATCCACATACCACATCCAGCAGCAACACATTTGCTGCAATAATCTGATCAACTATTCTTATTCACCACATCAAAAAGATGATCAATCTCATCTCAAAGTATAATATATTTATCACTTAATATAAATTTCAATTGTGCATAACGAAAAAAAATAGTATGGATATAGAACAAGACATATCCTTCTCATCAACTTCAGTCGTGAATCTAAACTGCTCAAGTACTTGTACCTGCTCCTTCAAATTGCTTTGAGACTTTACCATCAGTACAACAGAACTTTTAGCATACTGTTCTAGAAGATTAGTTTACAGATCATTAAGTTCATTTCTAGCTTTCCTATCAAATCCAGGATAAGTACACTTCTCTGTAATCCAGAACTGATACCATAGAGATGGCTCTAACATAGACTGCTCTAATTTCACGAGGATTATCTTAATTGAACATTAAAAAGAAAATTTTTGGTAACAATGGGGCCCAAAATTATAACCATATATTGTTTTAGAAAGAACAGCCACTACTTGAACAATCCAGTGGTTGAGAAGATATTTTCCAACAAAACAATGGCTCAAGGCGACCTTTATTAGAATAAATAATCAAATCACTGTTTTGTCATGCAATAGGCAAATAATAGGTTATAGATTAAAACCAAAATAGCAGATGCAGCTTCCATTTATATGCACCTAACAGGTAAAGCATTCATTTCAAATCTTCTCATGATATCACTATTTATCACAGAACAGGTCTCGAATTTTTCTTACACCAGGTGTAGCATGATCCAGGCTCTTTTGTGCTTTTATAAGTTCTGATTTAAGCTTATCAATCTCAGCCGAGAGATTCGCTTCTTCATTCCACAAAGATCTGAAAGACAACCACCTCCGTAAACAAACACTTGGGGAGAACATAATCACCTCCAATGAACATACGAAAGTATTAAAAAAACGTTAACATCACAATAAGTAAAAAGAACCATACTTCCTTGTATCTTGTAGTTCATCTCTCTGTCTCCTCAAATGATCGGAATCCTTTTGGCCCTTGGCTATGAGCAGTTCTTGTTTTTCATACTCAGTTTTTCGTTCCCGTATATACATATCCAACCTTCTTTCCTCATCTTTAAGCTGATGAATTTCCTCCTGAAGCTTTTTTTCCTGCAGTGTGAAGACAAAAGAAGTACTACGTAGAAATTCCCAACTGGCTTCGTAAATTAGCCTTCTATATGACATGGATGCATGGATGGAAAATGGAGAAACTAGTCATTGTTGAAAACGTTGAGATTATTCAAGCCCACAACGTCCACATTGGTGAGCATGCCTTTGTTATCAGTAACTTAAAAATACCAGCCTCTCATGTGCATGGTCCACCAAACTATAAGACAAAATAAAATGTGACGTTTATAGTGATGTACTAAAGATTTTTTTGCTTAATCTGGCATTACAAACCCTAGCATGATGACTATCTCCAATATAGCATGTCATCCTATGGATCAAGGATTTTAATTTCGAATGATACCACCCATACCGGACAGTAAACACCAGTCTGCCAGTAGACCGGTACGCGAACCATTCGCTACCAGACGATACCATCGATTGGGGATGTTTCTGCCCCGTTACGACCCGAAATCGATCGGTAATGGTCGATTTCGACCGTCGCCGCCCGCTATCGAGCAGTATTAGCCGAGGGAAAAAGAAGAACAGGGAGAAGAAAACGAAGAACCTGGAGATCCGACACTACTCTCCCTCGATGATCCTGATCCGTCACCGCCCTCCCTCGCCGAATGCAGCAGATGAGATGTCGCCTCCTCCTCGTCTGAGGCGACGAGGCCTCAACGTCATCGGCGATTTCTCCTCATCCTTGCGGGGAGAAGAAGCCTCGGCGACGTCGCCAAGGCTTCGCGAGGAGGCGAAACGAGGCGACATCGCCCTTTTTTTAAACTTGTATATATATGTATGTATACATATGTATGTATGTATGTATGTATACATATATACATACATATACACATAGACACACCGATCGATATGCCAGAACATATCGCTCAGTACGCTCATACCTTGCTATGGATTATACAGTTTAAACACAAAAGGAATACAGATTTAGGTCATACAAGGGAACTCTCAATAGAAAATTTAGCTTCACCTGCAACAATTTCAGTATAAACTATAACTTTTTGAATTACCTGTAACACATTTGATGAAAGCACACGCTCAAGATCATCAATCTCCCTCTGAAGCCACTTATCACGAGCAGCTTTACTAGCAAATTGGGTAGCTCGTCCTTGCTTCTGATACAAAATACTCAATTGCTTTTCACGCTCCATTATGCTATCCTCAAAAGAAAATCAGCAATGTTAGTTTATTCCTGAGAAAATAATAGTACATTAAAAGCACAAGAGGAAGGATTCACTAATTATACCCTTTGGTGATCTCCTCCTCTTCAGCCACTTTTGACTGGTGTAAGGGCCTGATTGTATTCAGTTCGTCTCTAGATTCCTGAATCTCTTTCCTCAGGCTCTCCAACTGCTTTGCAGCTTCTTCCTACAAATATAACTCAGTTAATTGAACATATTCTCTGCTGCAACCAATGAATTTTATGTACTTAACAATCAATCAAAAACAAACCTTTGATCGCATTTCTCCAGCAATTCTCTCTTCTAGATCCCTTAAATCAAGTTCAATCTGTGTGTGCATTTTTAATGCTTCAGTTCGTTTTTTCTCTGTATCTTCTTTCTCCTTGTTCAAACTTTGTAATTCCTTCGTTAAAACCTTGGACTCCTTTTCTAATAACTTAAGATTCTCATGCGCTTCTAGCACACTGTTGTGCATCCTAGTTGACTTCTCAGAAACTTTCTTTCGTGATTCTTCAATCTACAAAAGAAGTAAGAAATATTATTTCTCAAAGATCAAAAAGAAAAAAAGGCTGAACAATCAATAAACAAAAATGCAGCACCTAATCTACTATCTGATCATTGAGATTTCCAATCATCATTGAGGTGTAAACATTTCATTTGACATTTGGCCTACATGTATAGCTAAGTTGATATTCTGACGGGAAATAACTGATAATGTCTAAGTGGTTAATGGTTGATATATGCAACGTTGGCTGGTAGAGGAGTGGAGTCTCTGCAATAGTCTGCATTATGAGGCAACCATAAAAAGAAGGAAAATGAGTTGTATGTATGGTGTAGCAGGGAAACAGAATAGAAGTGATGATGATGATGCATTACATAGGGAGAGGGATGGAAAAGAAGAAACATGAGACTGATAATAATAAATGTGTTCTCTATCCCTGACATCATTACTATTGTGATGGTTTTATTGGTTATTGTCATTATTTCTTCCAAAAAGCAAGCTTCGTAAGAGAATAGCAATTTGCTTTCATAAGCATATGAAATGTATTTTTCAGGATCTACTTCTTTTCATGAAATAGATAGTGTTATTTTACTTTCCTATTCATCCACTTGTATCCAACAACTTAAGCAGATGGTTATAATTCTATTCAAAATGTTGTATCCCACTGCCAAATTCCTTTGCAATGAAGACAGACGAGCTATATCTTCGGCACTTGACAAGTAATCTGCATTCTTGTCATATTTGCTAAATAAAACAGACCTCGTCTAATTTCTGTCTGACACCATTAAGTTCCTTGTCATATATGGTATACTCTAGCGACCTTCGTTGCTTGTCAAGCTGTTGATATTTTCTGAGCTCTTCTTTTTCTTCATCAAGTTCTCTTAATCTCTCCTCCAAATATTGAACAACTTGATCAATTTGTTTCCTCTTGTTACCTAGAAGAGAACAGAAACATGTAAAGATAGGAAAATTTGTATAGCGGAAAACCTTCTGAGCACTATATATCTGAATTTACCAGTTTCTTGCATAATCTTCAAGCTCTCACGCCGTCTCTCCTCATACACACGGGTCCCACCAATCTCCTTCAATAAATCAAGGCGTTCGGAGTCCTTCATTAAGGTAAGAGAAGCTATCTACAAAGATAAGAAAAGAAATAGGGGTTACGGTAATTATATAAACATAAGAAATAAAGTAAACACCAACTATCAGCTTGTTTACCTTCCCTTGTTGAACCACATAATAAGGATTTGAGCGAGAGAAACCAGCACTCTCCAGCAAATTCATTACTTCTGTCTTTCTAACACATTAACGTAAGAAAGTTAATTTGGTTCTGAAAAGAAATATCATGCTTAAAGTGACAAATGCAACATTAGGGATACATACGTAACATGCTTCCCATCCAGGAAATATTCATCCTTTTTAAGACTTATTGTCCTCCGTAGACGCACCTCATCTCTATCAACCTGATGCAGAAGTTCTTAGTAGGAAAAAAAATAAGGATCAAAGTTGTTCATGATGATAGGTCTAGAATAACCTTCATGCAATATTTTTTTTCACACACTTTAATTTCATGTTTAACAAAGCTACCTGGAGATCATGATAGCTTTCTTTGTAAATTTGCACTTCCTAATGCTGTGACATTCGTTCAAATATTGGTCTGTATTCACAAGCCAAGGTCAAACTGGTACAGGATCTACTGACCATACCAACATCTACTGACAAAATATTTCTCAAACTATTTGTTGGCAATAATAAATCATGGCAATGTACCATATTAGTCTGCAGGCTGCCCTGTACTCTGTCAGGACCAGTACTAAATCCCTGGTTGTATTGTACATTGCTAAGAACACCAATCTTACACTAATTTAAATATCAGCCCCATAATTTATAATAAAATAAACAAAATACAAGAGAAAAAATCAGAAGCAACATGACAACAACTAATCCTGAACACAAATATTTCAGATTAGCTATACTTAATCAGTTCCTTATTGACTCCTGATCGATGAGATACATTCATCCAAGAGCTATCATATTATTCACTAGTGCTCAGTAGCAAAACAGAGTCTTAATCACCAACTATCATACCAGGCAACAAGAACAAAATTATGGAATAACAAGAAGAAATTATGCATAATCATAATGTTTTTGGCATTTTCCTGGTCCAAGGTGCTTGGATACATTAGCTTGAGACCATCGCATAATCTTAGAAATTCCCTATATTCAATAATGATCAGTGGAAAACTTACTGGGATGCGGTTGTCAGAATTGTCAAAAACTATCTCAACAAAAGCAGACACCACTTGGTGGCCAGCCCCCTCCTGTTCATTTTTTGCAGAAAGAATAAATCATCACCAGGTTCCAGAAAAAAAAAAAAAGAGAAGGAAAGAACAAAGAATGCATACATGGAGAAGAGCATGCCTGTCTTCACTGCGCAGGTTTTGAAAGAGATCACTAAGGACAAATCGTATAGCTAGATGCATTTCCATTTCAAAAATCAAGTAAACCAAGCAAAAGTCAGCATGATAAGGAACAAACATAAGTTATAAAATTAAAACTGGCTAACTTAAAGTTCAACACGACACTAAAGATGATTGAAGTTATTACCATGAAAGAAGTTTGTCTTTCCAGATCCATTGGCACCCACTGAAAAGACACACACAAACATGCACACACACAAAAAAATCCAAATTCAGTAAGCAATTCTTTGCAGCAAGTGACTACATTATTTTCAATCCAAATTTTACTACATCATGTTACTTACATCTCAAAAATGTCAAATCTTAGTCATATGCATGGAAAACAAAAATATTTTAAGTGGAAATGACATATGTCAGTAAGAACTGTAAGCCATATTCAAGAGAAAGTTATTTGGTTTCAGGCTTTGGAGATTTGAGTTCAGCTACCACACATTCATTTCGTCAGTAAGTCACCACAGAAACAAATCCATTTCTGCCCTTTCTTTCATAAGAGACATATATAGTATGAACCAGAACAGGCAAAGTGTTCCTCATGAAGGGCTTTCCCCAGAATAACTCCCTAGAGCATATTAGAACGAAGGAAACGCGGAAGAACAAGCTCAACAAAAGATACGGGAGAAGGCATTACCAACGCAATTTACTTTAGGGCTGAAGGGATCTGTCGAGACCTCCTCCTTGTAGCTCTTAAAACCTTCGATGATAACCTAAACCAAGAATTATTCAGAGGTACACCCCACGAATTTAACATAGAAATCAAACCAGATCACCAAAAATCTTAAAGAGCCGTCGAGAAGAGAGAACTGACTCGACACCACAGGAAAACAGCAAAATTACGAACTCGGGAAATGTCATATACCTTCTTTATGTGCATCCTGGAAAGAGTAGCCGATCTGAGTCAGACCATCAAAGACCTGAGCGAACGGGAGAATAACACGATCAGCGGCCAGCGAAACTAGGGTTCCAACTTGCCAGAGAAGAGATACATGCTGGAGGAGAACAAGGAGGTGTCGAGGAAGTGAGAAGGAGACGGATCAAAGCGAAGTAGTGAGAAGGAAACGAGGAAAAGGGGGGATGGAAGTGGCGGAGGAACCCTCACCTCGGAAGCTCTCTGCTTCGTTACTGACCGCCCGAGCCCTCTCTTTTCAACGGAAAGAGAGGAGGGAGATAAAGGGATGTAATAACGGGTAGAGTACCAAACCCGTTTTTGTTGCGGATTATATTTCGGATCCTATACCTTAGCAAACCCGCTCCATTAAACGCGTCCATCACCTGGAGGCCAGCCCTAGTACAACGACCTACCTTCCTTGTGATTGGATAATAGGTGGGTCCCAACGACCCAAATCGATTATCCATTAATCCGAACCGGTCCGGCCTGACCCGACGCGAATGGGGAAACCGGAGTTGGTGCATACTGTTCCAACTTCAAACACACAGGAGATCTGATCCAAACGAAGAAGACGAACGCAAAATGCGACTGCCGCTGACTTGAATTATATTTACATGAATCATCACGTAGATATACTGCCTTTAAATAAGCAGCTTTTCCTGCATTCCTATACCATGCAAATCCACTGTAGATTACTGTATATCCTACATAGTCGCACACTAAAGGTAACGTGTCAATGGGATGGAGACGTTGATAGATGCATCACTTGGAGTTTCCATTCTGCAAGCAGGTGATGGGAGGTTCCGTGGGGCCTTGCAGGTCGCCGTAGGCTTGCCAGCAGAAAGGGTCGTAGCTAGCTCCACGTTGCTTCAGCAGCTCAAGCTGTATGCCGTCGAGATGGATGCTTCGGCAAGGCTCGGTGTCGCTGCAGGCCAAGTACACCGGCTGGACGGTGTAAGTCCCCACGACGCCGTCGTAGGTGATGTCCGACAGCGCCACCGCGGAGGTTTGGTTCCGGCATTTGCTCTGGTCGCAGTAGAACTGGTCGATGACGATCGGGGTGGCCACCCGCGAGAGCTTGATCTTTGAGAATCGTATGTTCTTGACGTAGCCGGATCCACCCTGCAGCAAGGAACGAAGAGGACGCGTGTGAGGATGCCGAAGAGGTCTAAGAATTGTTGTACCTCGAGAACAGAGGAGATGTGGATCACCTGCCAAGTCTTGATCCTGACGCCGGTCGTCGTGCCGACCATGTTGGCGTTCTGAACAGTGACGTTGGATACGGAAGCCTGCGTGTTGCCCTTGCCGAGCCCTCCGATGCTGATCCCATGACCTGGCCCGCAGTTCACGTTCTGCACCATGATGTTGGAGCAGCCTGTTTGGATGGATATGCAGTCGTCACCTGTGGAACAAAACATGCAGCAAGAAAACAATTTAATCATCTTCCATTTGTTTCATTCTTTTCTGTGCCTTTCTCACTACCGGTACTGATCTTTAGAATTACCACATCCCAAGTTGGTATCATGGATGGAGACGCCGACGGAGTTCTGGAGATGGATTCCGTCAGTGTTGGGACTGTCTCCAGGGGAAGAGACGGTGACACCGAAGACCTGAATATCATGGCTGCTGTCGAACTTGAGATGGCACTGCGGCGAGTTCTGAATCGTGATGCCGGTCACCGTTACATCGGAGCTCCCATAGAACCTCACGGCCTGATATACGATATACGAGACAAGAAGTCATTCGACGACGGCTCGTCCATATCTATCATCAAGAAATTAAGCTATGAATCGGAAGAATTGTCACCGAGGGTTTGACGTGCGGCAATCGTCCACTGAGCTCGGTGCCGAGCTGCTAGGAATTAATCATCACCATGCAAGATCGTTATCACTGTGTAATTGGCTGCGAATTCAGGCATTTGAGAAGGAGGAGGACTCACCGGATCGTCTCTGCTCCACCAGGCATTGCCCTGCCCTTCGATGATGCCTTGGCCCTGTATTCTGATACCTTTCAGCAATCTGAATTCGAGCCACTGTAACAGACCCGAGCCCCAAGCTTTACCACCAGGAGCAATGATCTTGCCATCCAACTGCAAGACATAATAGAAGTTCTCACTCTTTGCTGGATAAGCCGATCGTCGATTAGGAAACTTAACATCCGCTTTCTTCCTCGCAGCTTTCTTTAAGCGATGCAATTTACCTGGAACAAGATGTTGGACTTGCAAGGGCCCGAGAACGAGATTGGACCGACGAGGAAGTCCGAGTCTGCAGGAACAAGTACACTCGACGGCGATCCCTCGCAAGCAGCTGCCCATGCAGCCTGGAATGCCTGCAACGAACGATACATCAACATCATGAATCTTATCCGGTAGTGCTGCTGCAACATGGAAGAAAAAGAATGGGCCCACGATCACCTTGGTGTCATCGGTTACCCCATCGCCCTTGGCTCCGTAATCCAGCACGTTGAACGTCCCCCCGCCTTGGGGAGCTGGCGGAGACGACCTCGGGCTTGGCGACGGACCTGAACTTGGTTTCGGCTTCGGCGTTGGTCGGCGGGACCTCCCACTCCCTCTCCTTCCTGCCAACCAGGTGGTCAGGTCTCTCGTCGCGCCACTGGTAGCAAAGCATGAGCATGCAACGAACACCACGAGGAGGACGGTGGTCGCTAAGCCCCTCACGCTAACCCTGCCCATGTCTTTGTTCTTCTTCTTCTTTACCGGTGAGAGAATGCAATAGGGAGAGGGGGTTTAAATAGGCAGTGTCGCAAGGAACATATTTGTCTCATTCTACTGTCTATTGCACTGTTGCATGGAAACATATTTGGTGGATCCACCTACGATTACGATACCAAACCGGGTGACGGAAGTGAATACAGCAATGCACCATCAAAGGGCACACGTACAATGTCAACACAGCAATGGTCACGGGCGTGAATCGCAGTTCCTTTGTGGATGCTCATTAGCCACTGCCGTAAGCAAAGGAAACATGTGGTGGGCCTCCAAATTACTTCTACTTCCACTTAACTAAGCCGCCAGTCGAGGCTAAGGTAAAAGAAACATCAAGTCAGTTCCATTCCTTGGGTCCTTTATCCGCTACAAGCCAAAACAAAAACCCATATGACATGTATCCCATAAATTTTATAAAGATTATTATAATTTCTAAACATATTATATTTAAGAATTTAAGTTGCATGCAATCATATATTGGTTGGTAGACGACGCTTCAAATGCTCAAACTATCTCTTAGTATCTTGTTGATGATGACAGAATCGAGCTTATTGGTTGGCATCACCTTCAATATTATAATAAATATGCACAAACTAGCTTTGTCTTTATCCTATTGTTCGATTAAGTCAAAGTAATTGCTTGCGTGTTGCTCATGTAATTAATGCATGTTTCAAGGAACATCAAATGCAGCACAGGTCCGACGCATAAGATCTTTACAGGATCCAAAACTCAAAATAATGTGGACCCCAAAATGGTTACTTGAGAGGGCATTTTAAATGACATGCAATATGGATTTATGTGTTCTTGTAAGGGTTTGAGGGGCAAATGCGTGCACGTAGTTAAAGTTTAATCCTCTAAGCTAACAACTCTTCATGATGAACAATGACCATGGAGTCTGAGACCGGAGAAGATAAGATTACGTCTCCAAAGTCATAAGCTACTAAGTGCATGTTGTGTCGGGTGCAAACAAAGACACTGCTGTGTAGGAAGGCGATGCTTGTTCTTGCATGCAGTTCTCTCTCTACAGTGTGTTAGCATGTGATCATGGCTTGTCCGATTGTAAGAGTGGATTACGAAATCTTTATGCTGACAAAGTGCATGCATCACTGTATGTCTCTTGGTAGCATTTGGGCAAGTGCTCTCTTGGTAGCATTTGTGCAAGTGCTCACAACAAGTCAAAGACCTTAATTAATGGTCTTGATGATAATATTAATTTAAAATTAATATTAGATGTAACAAAAAAATATAAATTTAGATTAAGATAAATAGATGAGAACGAGAAGATCTCCTCCGACCCATTCTTAGTGTTTCTTCAAAATTTTCTAATTCGATTTTGCTATCTCATCTTGTGTGACCCTTCTTCGTCGGCTTACCCCTTATCTCTATTATCCCAATCATATATATTTAAAGTATTTTTTATTTTTTTTATTATCATCTTTCTAGAGTTTTACAGAAAGAGAATTATCATATTTCAATAGTCGTTTGAAGAAAATTAGAGTATACCGATTAAAAAAGAAAGAGAGGTCAATAGATCTAGAAAGTGAAAAAAAAAAAAAAAGATGATAGAGAATAGAGTAAGCATTTATAATTAACTTTTTTCTATCTTCAAAAGTGAAAATTTATCAGCTTTGGCTATTAAAATGAAAATTTTATTTATTTATCGTAGAATTTGATAGAAAATGATTTTATTAAGTATGATATGTAAGATCCCAATATTATTGAAGATAAAAAAGGTTGAATAAATAAGAATACGTAGACAGATATAAAAGCTCTTTATATGCTGCAATGACTAGATCCCAAATCATGTCGGTATCAACATCAATAAATCTTAAAAATATTTAAAAATCTTTTGAGATATAGACAAAGGTAAAAATTTTAAAATATCAAATTCTTGCATGTCAATTTGAAACTCTTTTGATGTAAAATTCTAAATCTATCGCTTTTTTTTAGTCTCTTTTATTGTGAGCCAAATGAGATAAAATCTAAAAGATCAAATAGTAATAGAAAAAATTTATAAAATTTATCTCCAAAATTTAATGTAATTTCTATTACATTGTCACGACTTAGGTCGGGCTAGATCTCAAGAGAAAAATCAAAATAGTAAAAATCACCTAACACTCAAATACAAGGGATAGAACCAATCAACCGAGACAAAAGGAAATTCGAATGTAATAAAGAAACTTATCAATGTTTTTTTTTTTTTAAATAGACATATTAGAAAGTATTACTCGTTAAAAAATAAAAATTCAAAAATTCCTTCGAGCTTTCATTATAAAAAAATGGCTATCTTAAAAAAAATTATGAGAACAAAAATCAAGCAAATTATCATGAAAAAAATAATTATAAAAATAAGGATATATTTTTTTATAATATCTGTTGAAAAGCGGATGCAGTAATCATATGATAGTGGACAAACGTTTGTTTGAAAGACTTGATGATTCAGTTAGATATATAATGTAGATGAAAAATAATAATAAAATTTAAGTGAAATAATTGTTATAAATATCGAATATAGTAAAAAATTTATTGATGATATGATGTTTATTTTTGGTTGAAAATAAAATCTCATTAGTATAAGACAACGGATAAGAAAATGATCTTGTATTATTTGTGATGAGAAGAAAATTTTTTATTTATGATAAGAAATCTAAAAAGTTGATAGTAATTGTGAGGATGATAAAAAAAATAAAATATTTTATTTATTATTTTTGAATTTTTCTTACATGCCTTCACTGTTATTGTTATTGATGAATCGACATTATAACATAAGAGATGTAGTCATCTGAATTATGATGAACTAGAACTGTTAAATCAGAAATATATATTAGTTGATTTGCCTAAAACTAAGAATAAAAATACTATTTATGAATCACATATTTTTAAAAAATAATATGAAAATTTTTTTCATACAAGTTGAGGAGCCAAAAAATGATTAAAACTTATACATAAAGATATGCATGGGCTATGCAAACTATCTCACAGAAGTAAATATTTTCTGTTATTTACTTATGATTGTCCCAGGATGATGTGAGTATATTTTCTAAAAGAAAAAAACTTAGGCTTTTCTTATTTAGGATGAATTCACTTTCAATTTTTTATTATTATAAGAATTTAGACATTTACAGAAAACTAGCTGCGTTCTATACCTTCTAACAAAATATATTAGAAGAGTGGAAGAACCGATAAAAACTACCATGTGTATGCTTAAAGAAGCTGCAAGTACAATAATATATTTGTTAAGCTGCTTTGTACAAGGAAAAAAAATACTTTATGAAACATGGTTGAATAGAAATTCAAACGCAAGTTATTCATATGCATTTGATTTTATTTTTTTACTTTTGTGTTCCCACATAAAAAAGAAGCAAATTTGATGATAAAAATATTAAATACATATTTGTGGGGTTCAGTAATAAAATAAAAAGTCTCAGACTTTATGATATTATAACTAAGAAGTTGATCATAAATCTCTCAAACTTTGCGATGAATAATATATTGTTACAAGATGTCAAATAATTTAGTTTCAAAAAATTTTAATAGATCTTTAAGAAAAATAAGATAAACCAACTAAAATCTTCTATAACAATAAGTCCATTATTGCAATGCTGAAGGATCATATTTTTCCGTAAGTATACCAAACATATCAAAGTTTGATATTATTTTATTCGTAAACTGGTTGAAAAAAGAGATTCAAATAGACTCCTATAATACTGAAGACTAGCTTGTCGATGTCATTACAAAAGTATTGTCAAAAGAAAAAAAATAATTTTTTCAAAGTTAACTTTGGGCTATAACTATTTTGAATTAAAAGAATCATAAATTTAATATAAATAGTTAGGATTAGATGTAACAAAAGATAAAAAAAATAAATTAAGATAAATAGATGAGGATAAAAAGATTTATTGGTTATAATTATTTTTTAAATTATATATATTTTTTGGTAAATATAAATAAATACTTTTAGATTAATCGAAAATACTACATATTAGAATTACTCGTCATCCCTTTTGCTATCTTCTCTTTCTTCTCGTTGCAGTTTTACAGAAATCAATCACTTAAAACCATTTAAGTCGCACGATTAGTTTAGGATCTGCTATTCTTAGAGATAGCTGGAGTTAAATAGTAAGTGGATATCTCAAAAGAATCACAATAGTTCAATGGTCTTTTCTTTTTTTGCTGAACTAAATCTTGGCATCTGTCTATCTATATATCTATCTAATATCTATCTATATATCCATTCAACTATGAATCAATCAGCCAATCAATATATCTGTCTACTATATTGTAAGAATATGATTTTTTTTTTAAGTAAATAACAAATGACTCCCTACACGATCGAGAGTACTCAGAACTTGTGGATTTCTTCTTCTTCTTCTTCTTCTTCTTCTTCTTCTTCTTCTGATTTGGTGTTTTTCTTACAATCAATTTCAATCTATCCAGTTTTGTGATTTTAGTGAATAATACACCATTTGGATATGAATTTGTTGTCATAGGTGTGTACTATTAACATCATTCTGATTTTTCTTCACAGGTTAATAAAACCTCTAATAAGAAGTATATTGCAGTTCTTTTATTGTCTAGAAATTTTGTGAAAGCCCATATTTTGTATAAAAAGGATAATTTTGCTAATATTATTGATGTGATTATAGTATTTGCGACACTCCATTTTGGTCTCCTATTATAAGCTGTACTAAATTTGAATTGATTTATATGGATTGAATGAATACACTATTATTTTATAATCTAAGTATTATGAACCAGTGATTCAACCTCATTCAATCAAGCGAATGGATCAATAGTATTTCTTGACATAATTTTGGTTAAATTAACTTTATGTTTATGTTAGCTAATTACATCGATCAAAGTGGGCGACTGCATGTTTGGTCAATTCTTCTATGTGATATTTATTTCCATTAAGAACTAACAGGCGATTGATATGAAATCAGGAATTTGTTTGACACGTGAGGAAGTTGCATTCAACAC